CCCCAAAACCCCAAAACCCCAAAACCCCAAAACCCCTTCCAAAGCTTAAAATATTGAAAAATAGGAAACTCCTTTTACTATTTCTTAGTAAAGAAAGATAAGATAGACTTGTTATTGCCCTTCTTGGTCTCTTTACTTTCTGACTTCTTAGGCCTTCCTCTTCTCTTCTTCATTGAAGCCTTGGGCTTTGCCTTGTCAGACTTCTTTTCAGATTTTGAGTCATGATCTTCTTGGATATGACTAATTATTTGAGGCACTAAGGGAGGATCTTTACGCCCAGAATCTTTATTTTCTGATTTAGTAGCCTTATAATTCATAATCGAATTAATCTTCTTGACAGGTTTTCTGGCTGTTTTTGAAGAGTTGGTTTTTTCTTTTGGAACTCTTGTTTTGGGTTTGGACGCATCAAACGATGAAGTTTTCATCAAGAACCTCCTGTTCATCTCATCATGGTATTCCTGAGTGTTTTTGGGTTTTGAGAAATATTTACCGATTGATTTATCTGGAGTATATTCACTAAGGGAAATAAGCATTAATTTTTCTTACCTTTTCTTGATGAGGTTTGACAACGAAATGCCTATCAATCTGGCTGGCTCACAAGGCCAAATCTCATTGAGGAGCTCACAAGCTTCTTTAATAATGTCTTCCTTCTTATCTATACTCCCTCTAAGAGTTCTTCCCTTAGACTTTAAGTTATAATGCTGATCCTTAACCTCAAGCGTAATGGTCCTTCCCATGAGCTCCTTCTCCTTAATATTCTGGTGAAGAATGCCAGCTACAGTATCAATCCATTTAATAAACTGGGCTTTTTCCTTTATTGTTCGGAAAGTCCTACTGATTGATATACTTTTCTGGTGGTAATTAGGATCAACATCTTCGTGAACATTTCTAGAAATCCCTAATGCATCTCTCATATACCTGTACACAGTTTTTTCCTCAAAGATACAGTAAAGCTCTGGAGCTTTATCAAGGAAATCTTTGCCTTTCTCAATACCGAGTTCATTAAGTTCGGTCTGAGAGACAGGTCCGATACCTGGGATCTTCCTGATCTCAATATTAGCCATTAACTCTTCGATTTTCTGAGGGTCATGTGGTAGGATATAATGACCATTTGGTTTGTTCATGTCTGAGCATATCTTTGCAAGCATCTTATTGGCCCCAACACCTGCACTACATGTAAGTTCAGTCGCTTTATTAACGTTGTCTCTGATCTCTTGGGCTAGCTTTTCTCTGCCCTGATCGTCATTGATACCATTCTTGATGAGATAATCGGTCACATCAAGATTACACTCATCTAGACCCATACTTTCGTAATTTGGGTCATATTGAGAGAGTACTTTTCTAAAAATTTCAGAGATCTCCTTATAGCGTTCATGTTGGTGATCAACAAACTTTAATTCTGGACAAAGCTTCTTTCCGATAAATCCCGGCATGGCAGATCTAACACCGTATTTCCTAGCAACATAGTTAGCAGTCGATATCATCTGCATACCTCCAACAGCAATAGGAATGTCCTTAAGAGACGGATTATCATGAATAGCTACAGCAGCATAGAACATATCCATATCAACATGTATCCACGTCCTCGATAAATCTCTCTTACTCCTCATATCACTAGCTTTATTATTAAGTTGTTTAGTAACTTTTGACCAATAACTCCGGTTGCTCTTCAATTTCCTAATTTCCTTCATCCATTCCTTAGCCTTAGCCTTCGCTTTCTCAGTCCTCTCTTGCTTTTTCTTATAATAAGACGAGCCTTTGGAAGCCTCAATGATCTTCTTTTGGATAGTCTCTACAACATTAGGCCTAATTTACCCTTATCAATGGAAGCCATGCCTGCTTTCTCTGCGTTGTAATGAAGGTTTGGGATGACTTCTTTATCTTCCTCCTGAGAATCCTTGAGCTTATGGCTCACTTTGGATTCCTCATCCATTGCTTTCAGAAGGTCCTGAGTTTTAATAGAATTCTGTGAAGTGTCATTTCCTCCAAACTGGGCAGTTCTTCTATTCCTAAACGATCTAAAGCAAGACATTACCTAGTACGTGAGCTTGATCGGAGAGTTTTAATATTGAACTTAATCTCAGATTCCTGAGGCGCGTCACTGAGAGCAAGCTCATCATCTTTCATCTCTTCAGCATCGTTCTGTTGCTCTATTTCTTCCTGACTGAAGACAACAGAGGTTGGGATTGAGATTTCACTCATCTCTTGAAAATTGATTCAATATTTTATAACCTTGGCGGGGTTTTGGGGTTTTGGGGTTTTGGGG